CCCCCCCACCACCACTTGCTCAACATGAGCTGAGAGAGTAGGATAAATGAGGTTGTTGGGGTCACGGCACCTGGGAGGGGCCCAACGTCTACGTGACCACCGAGCAGAGGAGCGGACCGAAATCGGATGCAAACACATGGTTTGAACAATAAAAATGAGGTAACTACACGCTCAAGAAGTCTTAGCTTGACGGTCGGGCTTGAAAAAGTCGCCCTGTTGCCTTTGTTCGCCCTAGCCTTCGTTTGCCTGACGCTTCCCAACTCCAGAAGAGCAATCTACTGATTGTCTGCCAGGAGTGCAGGCTCCTCCCTTGCAATTAGCAAAGCTATTCAGCAGCTGAGACTAAATCACACCTCCTCAGACAGGCAGAAACTCACAGTCCAATCACCACTGAGGCAAGCCTAAGTACAGCTATAAAGACAACTTAGTTAAAACAAGAATAAAATACTTATCAGATTCTGGGTGAGTCAGAAGTTCAGTTCTTGCTCCAGAAGTTGAAAACAGATCACCAGGTTAGTTAAACCAGCTTAGTTGAGTTAAACCACATCACCAGGTTATGTTGACCTCTCCGAGTGAAACAGGCCAGGTCCTTAAAGAGACAGTACGGATGTTGTCAGTTTGAAGATCAAAGTTTTACATCAAACTGAAAGAATCATCACCGTGTTCCTACAGCTCAACAGGCTGGTCCCTGCAGTGGAACAAGCGCTCCTGACCTGCAGAGGAGACACAGCTGATCTAACTCCACCCCACAGCTGGGTCAGGTCATGATGAACAAAATCAAACACACCCCTGTTTAAGAGCTGCTGATCCTGTAGAGCAGACAGACAGATGGGTGACCAAAACAAACACCCTCCAGGTCTTCAGCGTCTACGCTCGAATCAAACATACCCCCACCGGTCGGTGTTACTTAAAACAAACACCCCCCCCCCTCACTGAGGAAGACGGAGTCACTACTGAAGAACAACAAATGAAACGCACCCTCAGGTTACTGAACTGTCCGTGCTGAGAGACAGTTAAACTCCACCCGTCTGTGAGTGTGAAAAACAAATGCACCCAAACATTTCAATACATCTGGGTGAAGGAAAAACAAACGCACCCTCTGATCGTCCAGCAGGGGAGGAGATAAACTGCTGGCGTGCACGTGCACGTGCACACACCTCCCCTCCCCCTTAGAGCAACAGTGAGCGACCTAGTGACCCAAACAGAGACTAGGTTGCTCGTCCATCCCCCCGGGACAACTATGAATGGAGAGAGAGAGAGTGCGAGTGTCCTTGACGTGTCTTTGTACAAAGATCAGCTGTTCGTCTGGTTTGAAGGACGTTAACAGTTTTATATTAATGAGATTTAATTAAGTAGATGCGAGGATGGAATTGAACCAGCGACGTTATAATTATGTGTTGTCCACCCCCCCCCCCCCACACACACACGGTCTATTTTTAACCCTCAGCTCTTGGTTCATATCTACATTCTGCTGCTGCTCAGCATGCTGGGAGGTCAACGAGGACGCTGCATCGACTTCACACACGTTGGGCTGTGTGTGTAAAACGTGTATCTGATATGTGATGCAGTTTATAACAGCTGATGGAGCTAAAAGCATGAGAACCCTAAAGATACAAGCATTGATACAGAAATACATTTCACTGCCAAGAAAAAGGGTTTAAAAGCTAAAACTGTCCGAGGCAGAAGTAGAAATGAATTGACTTCAAGAAGAAATTATTTGTACTTTAAAAAACAAGAGTAGAAATTTAGAGAATAAAGTTTTTCCTTGGAATCGTTTCAAATGAAAAATTTACATAAGACAGAATTTAAATTTTCTGTTCACTAACCGCTCCGGCGCTCTGCTCTCCAACCGCTCCGGCGCTCTGCTCTCCAACCGCTCCGGTACTCTGTTCATGCAGCTTTAAGGATGAGGACTGTTTCTTTCATTAATGATCTTCTTGTCTAACATGAGAAGTCACTTCCTGTCGAGTCCTCAAGAGATTCATCACATAAAGTCAGTCCCTCCTTCACCCCCCCATCTTTACCTCCTTCTGTCACTCCTTCAGACGTGGACATCGTCACCTCAGAGACACAAAGAACACATGAAGAAGAACTTCAGTTTCCTCCTGAGGAATCCAGAATGTGCCGACTCCAGTAAAAAAGTAGCTTCACTTTTCCTTCAACTTTCTCTCTTTTCCTGATCTCTCCTCCTGCTGCTCCTTTAGTTTCTCCTCCTCTAAAGATTCTTTCATTCCAGCATCAGTTTGTCCAAACAGACTTTAGTTATTCTTATCTCAGCAGCTTTTGTGTGAAAATCTGCTGTAAACTGCAGACCGACACCAGAACTCCTCCTCCGCCCAGACATCTGATCAGAGACCAGCTGCTCCTCCCGGTGGTCTGTTTCTTATTTTCTCTCCTTTTCTTTTTGAGGGTGAAATCTGAAGCAAAAGGAAAACTGAAGGGAAATGTTAGCATGTTGAGTTTGCTCTCAGTCAGCCGATTGTATTTTCAGACCTTTGTGATGGTTTGAAGCAGCAGAGATGAACTTATTGATCATGTGATTCTCTTCAGCCAGCAGAGGGCTCCACCTCCTCAGAGATCGGAGGTTTGGGTTCGTGAGAAGAACATGCTGTTTGTACACCAACATGTCTGTAGAACCTGTTTGTGACATTCAACTCTTTTTGTTCCTCCTTAAATCATAACACATTAAAACAATAATAGTCCAACAGGTGAACTCAGGTGTTTATTGGTCAGCTGATCTGATATTTAATTTTAATAGAAAAATTACTGATTATTATTATTAATAGAGTTTCTCTCACAGAGAAATGAGATGTTTTACATCTGATCTCTTCTTTCAGGAACGAACAGATTTAGAAGTGATCCTCTGTTTCTATATTTAAAGAGGAGTCGTCTGTTAGATTAAATCGGTGGTTTGTGGAACCTCTACAGCAGAGGTCCTCAACCTTTCATGCAGCACGGACCGGTTTCATGTCAGACAATATTTTCACGGACCGGCCTTCAAGGTGTGGCGGATAAACAACGAAATAAAATGATACGATCGGCATGAAAACAAATATAAAATGCATAAAGAATACAACTCACAATAAGGCTGAATCAGTGGAGCCCTGAGCTTGTTTCTCTGCAACGAGACGGTCCATCTGGGGGTAACGGGAGACAAAGACACCCGCAGTCTGTTCCTGATGTCCAGTCGACTCCGTTTAGTTGTGATTGCCGTCACTGCAGAACATCCCGCTTCACAGACAGGATGTTGTTGACGGACGCAGGGTTTCAGTGCTTTAGTGGTGATCTCAGGATATTCAGCCTTGATGTTAATCAAACACCAGCAGAGGTGTTGTCTCAAACATACTGTTAAGGCCACCGTCATTTACAACCTCCAGCAGCTGATCTTCTTCTGTGGACATGTTCTGCAGAGCGGGTTTGGAGCGTCAGAATCACTCCTGATGTTTAACAGACTCCTGATGTTGTCTGTTAAATGAAGCTTTCTTGTAGCTCTTCTTCTGTCTCCTTAGTGGCCTTTCCTCTTTGCAAAGAAGCTCTCCAAAAGTTATTTACTCATTGTCGCTAGTTTGCGGGCTTAATTTTTGCGGTAACGTATCACGTGACCGAGACGAGCGTCTTGACATGTCAAGAGACTCAGGCGGATGAAATTGGGAGAGAATCCGGTCATTTTTCAAAATAAAACTTCTTTCAGACTCTGATAATCAATAAAGCTGAAATAATATAATATTTATTCTTTCTGTGCGGCCCGGTACCAAATGATCCACGGCCCGGTGGTTGGGGACCACTGCTCTAGACCTCCTGCGGTGTCGTGAGTCTGAACACCAGCTTCACTCTGTTTAAAATCTAAAATCCACTTTTATTAACATTCATTGAAACATTCAGTTATAAAAACATACAGAAAACAAAGTGAGTCGGTTCTTCAGAGAACATCTGATCTTCTGCTCCTCAGGCTGTAACGAGGCTGACCAATCAGGAGACAGGAGAGGAGAACAAGAGGTCATGCAGACGTTTTGGTTGATTTGGTGACACCTGTGGTTACCACGGTAACACTAACAACATAATTTGTTTGAGATCTACTCCGACAGAGAAGACGAGCAACACATGCGGACCAATCAGACGCCTCTCTGAAGCCACGCCCCATTGCTATGATGTCAGAGCTAAAACACTCTATCAGAGAGGATTCATCTGTGTTGAATGTTCCTTTCGTCGTGACGACAGAATCATATGGCAGTTTGACAATCAATCACCAGTCACCAGGGGTGGGGAAAAAAAATCGATACAGCATAGTATCGCGATATTTTGCATGGCGATATTGTATCGATACACGGACGCCAAGTATCGATCTTTTATTATATAAACTATTCAAAAAATTAAATTAAATTTAAAAAAATAATTACTAGAAAAATCAAATCAATTGCTTTTTCAGTCCACTAGATGGTGCTGAGTTGTTGTCTGTTGGTCAAAACAAAGATAGCGACATCTGACCTCACAACGGGGTTAAATCTGCCAACAGTAGCCAGGCTCATGGGGAGAGCGCAGCGCATAACTGTCTCTCTGCCCTCTACGTCCACGCATCGCAAGTTATACTGAGTTATATAACTCTTATATAAGTTATAGTTCATATACTGAGTCCACACGTTTGCATTTAGTTAAGTTGGACTATGTAGTAATACAAACAGTTCAGTTGGTCAGGTTCATGCAACATTCATGACATTGTTGGTCAGTCTGTCTGCTTGACAATCCTATTCTGCTGCAATAAAAATGAGTGAAGTGAGATGAACAGACTGAAAACTTTATCTTATTAGATAAAACATGTTGACACAGTTTTCCTTTGGGGACATCATTTGAAGTTGAAAAAAGTAATAAATCGCAATACTCAGAATATCGCAGTATCGTGATAATATCGTATCGCGGGACCTCTGGTGATTCCCACCCCTACCAATCACCTGTCACCAATCACATCTCACCTGTCATCAATCACATGTCATCAGATAAGAGTTACCTGTCTGTCCTCCACCAGGATGCTGTAGACCAGAGCAGAGGAGGAGGAGCCACGAGGACACCTGCCTGTTCTCACTGAGGCATTCTGTGAGGAGGGACTCTGCACTGAGGCATTGTGGGTAATGTATTGCTGCAGGGTGATGTCAGCAGCTGAGGTCACTGTACTGCTGAGAATACTGTCAGTACTCCAACCTGCAGTACAAATACACACAAATACTGTTAATACCAACAAGGCCAGAAATATGTGGATAGAGAGGCGAGACAGGCACCGACCAGTGTGTGAGAGGCGAGACAGTTCTGGTTGGTCTTTGGTCGGAGACACCAACGTGCTCCACACTTTTTCTTCTTCTTCTTCCTCCTCCTCCTCCTCCTCTCTTCTTCTACTCTCTGTCCTCCTCTAGAAGAGATGTGATTGGTCAGTAACCTTGTGCTCTGTGACATCACAGAGGATGCTTCTCAAGTCTCTTAATTGCATCC